ATTCAAAGGAACGTATTAACGTATCGACAAAGACCGAGGGAAAGGGATCTCGAGGGGCACGTCGGAAAAGGTTTGAGAGCATGAGCACGAGGGCATGAGGGCATGAATCGCTGAAGGAAAACTCGGAAGAGAGGAATCCCCAGGAGAATTTCCGCTAATTTCACGACTCGGCGACGTCTGCTTGGCCGTTGCAGGTTTCTCCCCAGAGGTTATGAGCGAAATCGGATTTTCCAACCGGTGGGAAAATGTTTCTCCGTTCCGGGGGAAGGGCATTTGCCGAGTGGAGAAAAAAAAAAAAAGAAATTAAAGTAAATGGGGATTGCGGCGCATCGACGGAGCCTTAGACGCGGAACCCCGCCGAGCGTGTTGCCATCGGTTTTGGAAGGCCTCAAGTAGACGAAGAGGGAATATGCCAAACTCATTTTCAATTACTCATCAGCAATGATAGCATTCTGGTTACGAGTACTTGGATTAAACCTGAATATCTCGAACACGATTGAATTGATCCCTGCGACGGATCCGACCCGCCTGACTCGGAGGACTCTGGAAGCCTGTTGGCTCCCTGGAGGTGCTATCTGTGGAGGTGCCATCCGTGGAGGTGCCAGCCATCCGATTGGATGGAGCTCGCGGGTATTCTCCTTCCCGGGTTTTTCTCCCCGGGGAGATCCCACGTATCTTAAGCATATTGCATTCCAAATTTATGGAATTCTTGTATTATTAATATTGTTCATATACGTTTCTTGTATTATTGATATTGTTCATATACGTTTCTTGTGATGTATTTGGCGCTGGAGCCGCCGTGATTCCAACAGGATGAAAGCGGCATGCGGCCGTTGGATCGGGTCTGCTTAATTTGCATCGGCGATAATGAGGGTTTCAAATCATCGGATCATTCAGTTCCTTAATTAAAGGACGGGAAGTCGAGACGAGTCGTTGAAGGTTTTCCTTAATTAAAGGACAACATTCGCGTCGAATACGCAATCTCGCAAAGCACCCTCGTGCCAGTCTCTTCCCAAGGCAATTAAAATCGATGAAAGCTCGTTGAAGCCAGCGTATTTTTTTTCCAGCCGATGACGATGTACATGGCGTGCGTGCAGTTCGGGATGTCCATGCAGCAAGCGATGGTTGCGTCGACGCTGAACGCGGCGGCGTCGCTCGGGCGGTCGGCCACGCACGGGTCGCTGGAGCCGGGGAAGGTCGGGGACATCCTTCTCATCGACTCGCCCAGGTCGGTCTTGTCGGTCTCGTGGGGCTAAAATCGAGTTTGGGTGGGATGTGAGGGTTTTTTTTCTTCTCTAAGGTGTGTTTTTCTTCTCTCGTCTCTTTCTCATGAATTTTTCCTTTATTTTCCTTTTCGGTGGCATTGAATCTTCCAAGGCCTTTCATCTGTATATTTGTCATGTTCCTCGGTCAAGGCTGAGCCTGATGTCTCGGCTGCGTTCGTAGCTTAAACAGTAGTCCTGATTTTTGGGGGGGTTAAAAAACGTGTGCTTGAATATCCATGTCATTTTAAAGTGCATTCAATGCGTCATGATAATGTGGTATCCTTTTAATTCCACGCTAGTAATTCAATGTAGATTTTCCGCAAAAAACCTTGGATTTTGCTGGACGATTCCTTTGTGCGTTTCGCGATAAGATTCACTCGATTCTTCCAGGTGGGAGCACTTGATTTATCAGTTTGGAAGCCACCACGAGACGATAGAGCTGGTGATCAAGAGAGGAATCATCGTTCACAGGCGACAATGAACTGCGGGCTGCATCGTTCTCGATCCCGCAGGATCCTCACTGGAAATGTGCCCTGCCTCCGAGGAGGAGGAGGAGGCGTTCGGCGAGGCGTCACCGTGCGTCGAGACAGCTTTTTACTTGTGTAGTCGTTTATGCAGTCCGTGCGATTCTTTATTAGTACAAAGAGAAACTTCTCGGAGACGTGGCAAAAGATACTTCCAGGTTTGAGGATCGCCTGGTTTCGCGTCTTTAAGAAATAAAAAGAAATTAATTTTTCGCCTGTTCCCCGTGTCCTTGGATTGACAAAGATGCATGAAGGCAGCTGACTGCCCTCCTGCGAGTCTGCCTTTTTTTCACGTTTCAGGAGAATCTTTCTGATGACATGACGTGCGTGATGTTAACTCAGCGAGGGCAGATGTAATTGATTCCAATTTAGCACTTCGTGCGCTTCGTCTGGTTTCCTTCATTTCAAATATATATATATTCCTAATTTGGTACCAGGTTCAATCTTCCATATCGAATGACAAGAGATTTTCGCTGTCATGCGATTCCTTGGTGAATGAGGATGGATTTTCTGTCTGACGCTTTTTTTCCCCTTCATTCCACTCACGGAAGGATACGAGGTCATTCGCGTGGGAAATGAGGGCAGAGAGGGGCTGGTTGCTGCTGCTAAGAATCATCCTTTCTTTTCATTAAGTCGATGCACAAGAAAAATCGGCATTCGTTCGGGGTCTCAAAGAACAATCGCTGAAGGACGAGAATCCTTGATTCGCGACGTTCAGATCCCTTGGTTCTGTAATATCCCAGGCGCAGGATGTCATTTCAAGGCAATAGATATCAGCCTATCAATTTCTTGCCTCACCTGGTATATACTGCTTGGAAGAAAATACCGATTAATTTTAAAATTACACAAAGGATTTTAACATGGACCTCTCCAGATATTATAGGATATAAGATATCCTTGAGAGAAG